CCACCACCACCACTAGTCCACTGCACGTTCAATTTGCGGAAAATTCATATGTCGATAAAAAAATATTTGCAGAAAATACACGTGCCCAAAATAAATAATTAAGTACTCCTAGTAATTAATTTCCTATTCAATCCCCATTTTCTTTTTCAAAAGATTCCATGAAACCTTTTTTTTTAACCAATCACGTTCAGAGAACTCTGTCTTCAATATATTCCTCCCCCTGTACCTCCCTCCCAGAGCTAACTCTCTAATCATAGTAAATGCATGCTCCAAACTTTTCCAAAGCCTAACATTTAAAGATCTGTCTTTACACGGTTGCTTCATTACTCTCCTTTTTTTTTCCGGCGAAGAGATGTCGAGTTCCGGCCAGAAATCCAGCAGGGCAGCTGAGAGGTCCAGTTTCGTCAATATGTTGAGTCAGTACTTGAAGGAGAAGAGGAATATGGGAGATCTTGCAGGCGGAAATATGGCTGCCAAATTAGAAGCTAAAGGTACATTTTCTTTCGTTTCCTTTTCTGTCCTTTACTTTCGTAATTATTGTTGTGATATACTGATGTTTCTTAATTATTTCCTTTTTCTGTTTGCCGATTTCTCAGGTTTGCCGGTGACGACGATGAATTTGTTGCGTGATGTGGAAAATTCTACTGAGAATTCAAGACCGAAAGCCACTGCCTCGGCGTCTAATGTCAAGCCTTCCGATTTCTTCTCGAATGTTTCCGGTGCCGGTAACTTCGGTTCGATGGAAGAGGCTGCTAACAGGACTGATTTCAGGTTTGTTGTTATAATCCCTCTGATTGTGTTGTTTTTAATGATTTACTTAAATTTATTTAAATTCATAAATATAACTTGAATATTTCTGTTCTTGATTTAGGAAGCCGGAAACGACAGAGATGTTAAAAACTGCGCCGCTGACCATATTTTTCGCCGGACAGGTGCTCGTATACAACGATTTTCCTGCCGAAAAGGTGCAGGAGATCATGGCCTTGGCCGGCCAAGTATGCTCCAGTATCTCCACCGGTTTTGTTTCCGATATCGAAACATCCGGCCAGAAACTGAATCCTAAAAATACCGAGACAAATATTCCTGACTTGAACATTGCCTCCACCTCTGGAAGCAGTCCAGTAGCCGAACAACCATCCGTTGACCGGACTCAATCTATCGGTTCAGGTAAATTATCTGAACGAACCCATAAATATCTTGAATTACAATGCCAAGCATGCGCAGATTCTGATTCTGTCTGTCTTTTCCATACAGATTTACAGATTGCAAAAATAAATTCGTTTCTGGGCCAAACGGCAAAAAATTCGCTACACAGATTCTTCGAGAAGAGGAAAGACAGGGCAACAGCAAGAGCACCATACAACGTTCAGAACCGCCGCGGATCTCCTCCTCCGAAACCAGATGAAGGGAATTCATCGCATCAAGATGAAGGTCAATCATCAAAAGAAGGATTAAAAGATCTTGATCTTAAGTTATAGTAGCTAGAAAAAGAAAAAGAAAAAAAAAACAGATTCTAACTAATCTCTGGAGAGACCGTAGGAAGCCAGGTTCTCGCTAGTCCCCTGTGGCATGGATGACTTGTGATTAAACGGGCTGGAATTACAGCGAAAAAAACTAATCTTGGTCTTCATACATGCGTCTATTATTATTATTTTTATTTTGTGTATATTTAATTTTGCTGTAATTTAAGGGAGCTGTGATTCTTTCAAGCATGTTTGAGTAAATTTGAAAGAGCTTAAATTCTCATTCAGAATTCGTCTTGTATTTTCATTTGGATAGAAGTTAGTTGATTTCTTTGG